ATGTTAAAATATCTTCCAGCTCTATGACATTCTATACTCTAAGATTCCTTCCAGCTTTAACATTTTGTGTTCTAAAGATTATTTCATCTTTTATGTCTTGGGATCCCTTGAAGCTCTTCTACTTTATGTTCTGTATTCTAAGGGCCCTAACAGCTCTAATATCTTACGTTCTCTGTTTTAAGGTCTCTTGTAGCTACGACATTCTATATTCTTTTTATCAGTTCCCATCAGAGCTAACATTCTGTGATAGATTGCTAGGTAGGTAGATATATATACATATATATATATACACATACATATGTACATATATATACATACATATGTACATATATATATACATATGTACATATATGCATACATACATAGAGAGGTAGAGGAGCATTTATTAAGTACTTAATATGTGTTAGGCACTGTGCTAAACTATGGGGATACCAATATCAGCAAACAAAGCAGTCCCTGCCCTCAAGGAGCTTATATTCTAATGGCGGAAAACATTTAAAAGGATGTTGCTAGAAAGCAAAAGGGAGGTGCTTGCAAGGTATGGTGAGCCAAGAAGTGGTCCAGAGGTTTGATCCCCTCACAGCAAAGGAAAAGCTCACCTACTAGAACCAGAGGATCCAGGGATGGAGTCCAAGGTTCTGGTAGAAGGGAGACACTCAGTGTTCTCACATTCCTTCTAGTCCCAACATCCTTTGTTGTATGTATTAACAATAGACATTCCCCAGTAGACAAAAGGCCCTAAGGGTCTTCCCCTCCCAGATTTTTTTAACTAGGTAACAGAGACCCATCTTTAGCCTCATTTCTTACCTAGCCTTCATCACTGAATGGGCGTTTTCTCAGTCAAACTGACTTTAACTTAAAAAGGCCAAGGTCTTCCACTGCATCTGGGGCCATCTCCAGAACTCCTGATCTCTATTTTGCCACTGGACCCAGATGGCTCCAGAGGTGAAAGTGAGGCTGGTCACTCTGCACAGCCCTCCCTCACTTAAATCCAATTCACTTGCAAGTCATGGCATCATCTTCCTGATGTCATGGTCCTCTTCAAGAATGAAGGACAAACAATGGTAAGGTGCCTTGCAATGCTGGCATTCTATGTGCTCTTTCTCAAGGTACCTTCCAGCGCTAACATTGGATGTTCTAGGTGCTCTAACGTTTGAGGACTCATGATCCAGGGCTGTACAGTTTGCTCCCTCTAGTGGTCTGTTAGAAGCACCGTGACTTGCTTGTAAGCCAGGATGTGTCTTATTGAATTAGATTTGATCTTGGCATGGTCCCTTTAATCAAGAGTACTTGTACAGAACATGACAGCAGGCCCAGGGCTAAGTTTTGATGGGCGCATTAGGCAAACCCAAGCTAAGGTGGATGGCTTCAGCCTTTTCTAAGATAGAAAGTTCCTGTTAAAAGGGCAAGTTTGACTTTTACAGAGGTGAGGGTGTCACACTGGGTTTCTTTATTCTTTGAGCTTTTCCAGGGTACTTTGAAATCAGTGAGGGCACATGAGGGAGTCGTGTCCCCTCACTGTCTCAATGTCCTCGTAATAATAACAGCTCTAGCCCGAGCATCACTTCTAGGTCTACAATGTTCTCCTTCCAGGACAAGTGTCATTATTTCTATTTTACAGATAGGGAAACAGAAGCTGGGGGTGGGGAGGGCCGGTTAAACAACCTCTTCATGGTCACCCAGTTAATACCAAAGCCTGAGTTCAAATCTCATTGTTTCCACTGCTTGTTTTATTCTACCAAGCCATAGTAATTAACCATGGATAAAAAGAAGACTTCTCTGGTCCATTCAAAGCAACAAATGTGTGCAAGATCTCATGGGCAGTGCTAGGGATACTGAAATGAAAAACAACATAGTCTTTGACCTAAGGAGCTTATAATATGATCGGTGGGGAGAGGACAGAGGAATGCAACAGAAACACACAAAAAGGTATGATATCCAAGGGAAATGTAAGAAGGGGAGAAAGGAAGATCCAGACCAGCTGCATGCCCTAGGGATATTTGAGGAGCAAGAAATTGCTTTCCACTGGAGTAAGGAGGGAAGGCAAAGAGATGAGGAGATACCAGATGTGAGCCTCAAAGGAAAAGGATTTCACCAGGAGGTGAGGAGGGTGTCTGTTTCAGGCATGAAGAAGAATGGTATAAAAATGTGGAAGAAAAGAGAGGGAAAAGCCAGAGCTAAATGGTAACAAAAACAGACTGCCTGAAGCATGAAAGAATGAATGAGAGAGAAATAAAGTTAGAAAGGGAGATCAGATCTAGGGTGTAGAAGGTCTTAATGTCAGGGTAAGGTGGTTGGTATTATATCCCAGAAGAAACCACAGAATGCTTTGGGGTATGGGAATGACATGGTTAGACCTATGCTTTAGGAATATCATTTTAGCAGCTGGGTGAAGGATGGTTTGGAGAGGTCCAATGTATCAGGGAAACCAATTAGAAGACCATTGTGATAGTCCAGGGAAAAAAGTGATTGAGTTGGGAGAAGGGTGAGTAGAAGGAAGAGAATGAAGACAAATAATGTTTCTGAGATGAATTCAACAGGACAGTTCCTTTTTAGGTCTTGAAATAAAACTCTATATTTCTGAGATTATATAGAGTAATATCTCTTAATGGAAAATTTATCTCCTTGTCGCATTTTCCTCAGATATCATATTTTTGGTGTACCTGTTACATCATTCTGCCCTCTCCAGCTTAGTATTTCATTGTCAGAAAGATCATTATTAAAAGTAGAAATAATATGGGAGGTATAGGAGTGTATAACAAGATAGAGATTGGTTCTTTATAGCTCCTCAATGGGGAATTCCCTCCCTTCCTCCTCCTTTCTGCCCCCAAGATTGCAGCTCCTCAATCTTCTCAGGCAACATGAGGGTGTCCCTTCTTTGTCTATTCAGATTTCTTCCTAATGTTATGACCCACACAGGTGCCTTCCTCACTCTTAAGTGATGAGGCCACTGAGTCTTAGGAGTGTGGCCATTCCTCCATATTAACTTGAGTCCTAGACCACTCAGGACAGGCCAACCTCCAAGATAACAGAATTGTGTCCTCCTCAGCCTTAACCACCCCCTAACTAGTGCTAAGGGGACTAGAGTTCTTTCAGACTCTATCCTCAGAACATTTTCATTTAAAAGTTGTTTCCAATGGTTTTGTAAATGGAAAGTCTCTAATTCTCAATTCACATAAGAGGAATTGTCAACACCTTCTATATACCACAGGAGTAGATTCTGCCTTCGTCTCTTCTGCTCTTTGGAATATAGACATTCAACCAGCTAAGAATTGAGCTAATACAACTTCCCCCATCTTTTCTATCATTTACATTTACTGTTTTTGGAGTGTCACTGGAAACAGGAGGTGGTGCACACAGAAGGAGACGGGAATAAAAAAAAAATTCTCTCCTAGGTCCTTTCCAGTGCTAACATTCTATATTGTATGTTCCAGAGTCCTTTTCACAATTGTCATAACCAATATGGCTATGTTTGAAGTGCTTAACAAATTCCTAAGGTGTTACTACCATCTAAATGAACCATTCCCAGGCTCCAGCCAGGTCCATCTTCCTAATGACCCTGAAAATGCAGAGGGGGCCAATGATTCCAGTATACAGTTATGTATCTGAAATTTAAAGCACACACAAACCAAACATAAATCCTAAAACAGCAAACTAAATCAACTTAAGACAGTATTGAAGATTTAGGGCAAAAGCCATAGTTAATTACTGCTGTTGCAGTATCTCCACGTGCATTAGTACATTTATAGAAATTTGGACAAGAACTCACAGTGTAAGAAGAAAAAATACATAAAAGTATTCCAGCATGTATATAATGCTTACAATTTACAAAGTACTTTCTATACATAAAATCACAGTATTATAGAGTCATAGATTATTAAAACTGGGAGGGAACTTAGATGTCATATCAAACCTCTTCATTTTATAGAAGAGGAAACTGAGGCTCAGTGTGAGAAAAGCCACAAGCTACTTTATCTTCTTTGAACATCACCATAAACCCACGGTATAAAGGGAAGAACAGGCTTTGAAGGCAGAGATCTGGTTTCAAATTCTGCCTTCTCCATTAATTGTGATGCAAACTTATGGTTTGAGGGCAGCAAGGTGGTGTAGTGGATACAGTGCCAGGCCTGGAGTCAGGAAGACCTGAGTTCAAATCTGGCCTCAGATACTTCTTAGCTGTGTGATTCTGGGCAAGTCACTGAACTCTGTTTGCTTCAATTTCCTTATATGTAAAACGAGATGGAGAAGGAAATGGCAAACCACTCCAGTATCTTTGCCAAGAAAACTCCAAATGGGGTCACAAAGAACTGGACACAAGCAAACGACAGCAATAAACTTAGGGCAGGTAGTAGGCTCTCAGGGTCTCCGTTTCCTCATCTGTAAAATGAAGGGGTTGGCTTAGAAGACTTCTAAGGTCTCTCCCAGCTCCAACACTGTGTGACTTTCTAATAGTGCAACCACTATTCTCTCTATTTGTCAGGTGAGGAATTTAGAAGTTAAGGCAACTAAGCTGCCCAAGGTCACATGGCCAGACCTCAGATGCAGCACTCCAGACGTCAAGGGCAGCACTCTCTCCATAGCGTCTCATAATCACCCAAACAGAAAGAAATCTACTTCTTTCTCTCTCAAATTTTCTTTGAAGTGGAAAGGAAAGCCACAGATTCATGTGTGTGGGGTGTGTGTGTACATATCTGTGTATGTGTGCATATATGTGTGCATATATGTATATGTATGTATACATACACATATGTGTATGTGTGTGTAAACGTGTATAGATAGATATAAATATAGGTATAGGTATGTGTGTGTGTAAGTGTGTATAGATGGATATAAATATAGGTATAGGTATGTGTGTGTGTGTATAGATAGATAGATATAAATACAGGTATACGCATGTGTATGTGTGTGTGTGTGTCTTTCTGCTCCATGACCTGGCCACACCACACACCTAGATTTAAGGGCAGGACCCAGCCCTGTACAGTGTAAGACAAAACAAGTACTTACCTTTTTCTGCTCCATCCCGATCATGCTTTTCAAAGAGCAGATAATGTGGACTCTCTGGCAGAAAAGGGAGACTCACAAGTTGGACGAAGGCAGGAATGACAATCACACCAAACAAGTAAGGCCACAGTGACTCCTTCAAACAAAACACAAAGATGTTAGTGAGGCTTTTCCTTTGGTGATGAATCATTCTGAGTGGGGCAAACAGTGATACCTGTTAGCACTGAGGGATAAACACTATCACTTTCTTGGACAAGTTGCCATGACTGCCATGTTGCCCCTCTCCCCTACTTCACCCAACCCCAGCAAAGAGCAGCCCGTGTTCTATAATGTATTTCTGAACCTTTCTTGATCACAGTTTCTTCATCTGTGCAATGGGTATAATCATTATAACTCACACTTACATAGCACTTTAAGTATTACAATGCGCTTTCCTCACACCTCTGGGAGGTAACACAAGTTTCTATCCCTATTTTACAAATAAGGATACTGCTGTCTTAAGACATGAAGTGTTCCACTCATGGTTACAGAGAGCACGTTAAAGAGTCAGGTCTTGAACCCAAATTGTTTGACTTTAGCCTATTATTCAATTTAATATGCCACACTGTCTTTAGATAAGGAATGCAATGTACAGAATTCATCTTTACCAAGAGAGAAACTCTATTCTAGGTGATAGGCAAACCTGTCTCTTGTAATTGATTTAATCCTCCATCGTATTTTGCCAATGTAAACCTGACCTCAAAGTCACTTAGAATCAGGTTCACATTTATCAAGTTCCTGTCACATGTGAATTAGCTAATATCTGCAACTAGAGTAGACTATGGGGAGTGAAGTAGGAAGAATTCTTCCCAGTTGAATACTTTTTTGACTTTGGAACAAGTTCTGTGAAATTTGGATTCAGTCAAAGGGACCTAGAGGTCCACATGTGGTCTCGAGGCTGTAGGTCCCCCACCCCTGGTATAGAGCATTTCACTCAGAGACAAGAAGCCCTAAATTCAAATCCTGCAGATGCCTCCCCTGTATGGCCCTCTTCTCCGATTAGTGAGTTCCTGCCTTGCATGGCCATATAAGGAGGTGCCCGGGACACCATGCCCACTTCTCTCTCACCTCTGCTCTTGACTTTTGACATTTCCAACTCTGCTCCACAGAAGAGGGCAGGTGGAGTAAGACCTGAGGAAAGGCCATTGGATTTAGCAATTACAATATGGGATGCCTCTGACTTCCATTGACTACGATGTGGATGCTCAGAATAAAGGTATCTCAATACCTCCATAAAGCCTTCCCTGACTCTGGAGATACATATTGATCTCTATTTCAATGATCGTAGGGATTCTAACTTCCTATCTAGAAATGTCCGATTTAACACATTAATTAAGCAGAAAGCATTTTCAAGATTTGAAAGAAACACTAGAACATATGACACAGAATGTCAGGTTTGAGATGTACCTTAAAACAAACAAAAAAATTAGTCCTTTAGTCTAAACATAATGTCTTTAGGATTCTGTCTGTCTCATGTGTGAATATGCATATTGTCTCCCCATAAGGTATATGGACTCAAGGGCAAACACCAAGCCTGATGAGAAGAAGGTCTAATAATACCTCCCTTTTACAAATTGCTTCCCTCAGAATACCTTTCCAGCCTCATCTCATCTTATTCTGCTCTAGATCTTCTCAGCTGCCCTCTGTCCTGGATGAGGCATGTGCTCTTCCCTCCTCTAGGTCTTTATTCAGGCTGTTTTCTATACCAATGATGACCTTCCACTTCATCTCTGCATGTTAACTCCCTACCTTTCCTTTAAAGCCCAATTCAAATGCCATCCCTGAAGCCTTCCCTGGTCATCTGGTCACCAGCAGGAACAACTCTTCACCCTCAAACTCCACAAAGCACATGATCTTGTATCTCTCTATTTAGCATGTGTGATAGTCATCTATGTTTTTGTCTTATGCCAATATTAGACTCTAAGCTCTATGATATATACGTATACGTGTGTGTGTGTGTGTGTGTGTGTGTGTGTGTGTGTGTGTGTGATCTAACTGGTTTCTCTCCCAGTGTCTACGAAAGTGTACTGTTAAATGAATGAATGAGGTAGCGTGTTTCAAAAGCCTTAGTACAGCTTTAAGCTTTAGTAGCCAAAATCTGCACTAAGACTTTTAGAACATCCTATATATTGAATGGAAAATAAACAAGACCTGGGTTCTAATCTTCATCTGATCGTTAGTTAAATCTGGTGTGATTCATTTTTCCTTCTCTAGGTCTCAGTTTCCTTCTCTGTAAACTAAAAAACTTGTACTAAGTGGAAGAGACTACAAAGTCCTTCTTACACTAGCATTTAATGGTTCTGTGGTCCTTCTCTATTATACTTCACTTTCCCCAGTGTGGAGTTTGACACATGGTTCACACCTTTTGCCTGCTGAGTGAAACAGAACTATTGTTAGATTTTGAATCCAAAGGTGCAGGTTCAAATGCTAACTTTCTTGCACTCTACCTGTGACCTTGCATAATCTATTTACCCCATGGGGGCTTAATTTTCCTCATCTGTAAAACAAAGGGATGGGACCAATCCCTTAAAATACCTTCCAGCTCTTATATTCTCTGGTCTATTATTCCACAACCTATATTTCCTGATTAGAGTTAGGACCTGGAAAATGACCTTTAGTCAGCAGATAGGACTGAAAAGGTACAAACAATCTATTGTCTAAGGAAGATAAATGAAGCCTTCAGGGTCTGTGATGAGACCCAAAGAAGACTGTATTTGAAGAGCCCTTAATGATCTGCTGTGAAGCTACTGCTTACTGATTTTACTCCCATCAGACTCCCCTGGCCACTGACCCTGAAAGTAGAAGACAGACATTTGATGACAACAAACAGAAAATATTTATTCCACGTCTATGCTCTCCAAGCCCCTGTGCTAAGTGCAAGGAGGGTTTTGGAGGATGGTAAATAGATGTATAGGAAACATTCGTAAAGTTAGAGATGAAACAGACCTTTAAAGACCATCTCTTTCAACGATTATGCTTGTATAGGTAAAGAAACTGAGACCCAGTTAATTAAGGGCAGAGTCAGCCTGGGTCTTCTGCCTGCCAGTCTCATGTTCTTCAAATGAGATGTCTATAAAGTACTTTGCAAACTCTAAGTATGATTACAAATAAGCTATTACATTTAATAATGTCCTTATGCTATTTCTTTTACAGTAGGGAATATTGAATGGAAACAGTTATAATACAAAATATGCTGTGATATGTGCACAGGATAGGCAAATGTAATATGAAAGTTCCATAATGGGAAGAGTTTTGAACTTGGAATCAGGAGACTTGGGTTTGAAATCTGGCTCTGCCATTTGACTAGCTTTGCAACTTTGGGCAGAAGTTTATCTCTTGAGCCTCAATTTCCATGCCTATAAAATGGGGACACTAATACTTGAGCTATTTATCTCACATGTTGTTTGGAGGTACAAATGAAATATTTTAAATAAAACACCACAACTGTAAGGCATTGAGTTAATGTAATGTAAGCTCTTGTTTTCATCATTAAAAAGCTTAAAATTGAGAGGATAAGAAATAAGCAAATAACTATAAAATACAATGGATTGTGGACCACAGATTTTAACTGAAAGAGATCTTAGAGATGATCAAGCTCAATCCCTTTATTTTCCTGATGATGAAACAAATTGCATAGAAGAGTTTTAAATTTCTTTAGGACAATTCCAAAGGACTCATATGGAAAATGCTTTCCACCTTCAGAGAAAGAACTGATGGAGTCTGAATGCAGATCAAAGTATTACTTTTTTACTTTTTTCTTGGGGTTTTTCTTTTCTTTCCTTTCCTTTCCTTCCTTCCTTCCTTCCCTCCTTCCTTCCTTCCATCCTTCCTTCTTTTTTTTTTGGCCTGTGTTCTCTTTTGCAACATGGCTAATATAAAATATTTTGCATGACTGTACATATATAATCTATATCTAAGTGCATGTCTTCTCAATGAAGGAGGAGGGAAGGAAAGAATTTAGAACTCAAAAATTATTTTAAAATGAATGTTAAAATTGTTTTTACATGTAATTGAGATAAAAAACATTCTTTAAAAAACAAAGGGCTTCAAATCTGGCTTCAGACCGAGTACTTGACACTTACTAGCTGTGTGACCCTGGGCAAGTCACTTAACCCCAACTGCCTAAAAAAAAATTTTAACTTGATTCTGTGTACAACATTATCTGGGTCATTGTTTATCTGTAACAGTGCAGATAACTAAAAGTTGACTAGCTATTTCTCAGCTGGAACAGTGCGAGCATCCCAGGCTGGTGGGTCCTGATTACTTCTGTAAGATGGCTTAACTTCTCTGCTGGGTGTAAAGTACAAGTCTCATTCTTAAAGACAAACTAAAGAACATCATTTTAATTCACTTCTCACAATGTCCTTTATGCATAATGCAACTTTAAATATTATAATAAAACCCTATGATTACAAAAATTGAGGCATCGTTCTTCCTGATCCACTTTCTATAAGAATTACAAATAAGTGAGCTGTGGGGGCTGTCTACAGAGACTTTCAATTACAAGGGAGTAGGGAGCGGGAGAAGGCAGGGAGAGAATAGATCAAAAACAAATAATTCAAGACAAAAAACTCTTGACACATTTTGTCTTTTAAGTAGAAGGAAAAGATGGCAAAGAAGAAATCAGACATATTTAACTATAAAATGGCATTATGTAAATTGGAACTTCTTGGTGATTGGGACATTCCTAGAGGATGTAATAAAGGGGATCCTATCTAGATAAGAAGATAAGAGGTCTGAGCCAGGATCCAGAGGAGTCTACCAGGGGTGGGGAACCTGCAGCCTCAAGGCCACATGTGGCCCTCTAGTTCCTCAAGTATGGGCCTTTGACCGAATCCAGACTTCACAGAACAAAACCTTTTACTGGGGATTTGTTCTGTAAAGTTTGGATTCAGTCAAAAGGCTGCACTTGAAGACCTAGAGGCCTTGAGGCCACAGGTTCCCCACCCCTGGTAACCAAATGTTAGGTCAGGGACAGAAGACCCCAAAATCTAAGTGGTCTGCAAATCCAGAAGCCAAGAACATCAAGCCAGGATTAATCGATAGGGTATGGGAATTTGGGCAAGCTCTACGTGATTTAACCACCAAGATTCAGCC